GCGCCACCTCGGGAGAAGCTGTGCCCGGGATGCGGCCCAGGAAGGCGGGGGTTGATACTGGAAAGCCCGACCCCCACCCTCCGCCTCGGTTTTCCTGCGTTGTCTCCCTCTCCCCCCACCGCTCCGACCTAGGCCCAGGCTCCCAAGCGCGCTTCCGCGTCTCTCCAGGCCCAGGTCCGCGAAGCGACTGCGAACCGGACACGGACCTGCCGCCGCGGAGTCGGGGTCCAGAGTCGGTGGATTCGAGGCGCGGAGCCCGCCCTTCTCCGTCCGGGAAGCCAAGAGGCGGAGACCGTTGGGGCCGGACCGCGGCTCTGGAGGAGGACGACTCCGCTCCGGCTGGGCTGGGATCAGGGGCGCCCGGGCGCAGCGATGGCCACGAACCGGCTGCGCGGTGTAGACGCGGGTGCTGCTGGCGCCGCGCGGTAGTGGGCCGAGACTTTGGGCGAGGAGAACGGAGGGCGCAGCCCGGGTCCCCATGCCCTGCGCCCCGGCCTGGCCCCGGCGTCCGGAGCCCTCGGCGGCCCGTCTGCGCCCGCGGCCGCTCGCTGTCCCGCGCGGAGAGGGCCGCCGGCTCCCTGCGCCTCGCGAAGTTTCTTTCCCGCACGGGGACGGCGCCCGGGCTGTTCCTCGTCCTCCCGCGCCCGCTTCGTGAGCTGGAGCGTCTGAGACTTGTTACTCGGGTTTGATTCAAAACGTGATAAATTGTATTTAACGCTATTTGAAATTTTTAAACGAAATTATTCAAAAGATTTTTAATCCTGGATAATTTTTGTTGAAACTCTAATTATACATCACCTTAATTACCAGCCTCAGCCCCCCAAGGATCCCTAATTGCCTCCTAATTGAATAAAACAGGGGGCTAATCGCACCCATGGCGGCCCATCGAGCTGGTGCGCCTCCCCCAAGGGGCCCTGTTGGGGGAGCCCCCAGCCAGCCACACCACCCGCACCTGGCCTCTCAAGAGAAACGGGGGACCGGATCCCCTGCCCCACGCTCTGCCCAGACGGGGGACGCGGGCCTTGCGGATGCCGCGGTCGGGGAGAATCGGGGAGGACCATCCCGCACCTGCTCTCACCGCAGCCGACAGGAGAAGCAGGGCGTCCAAGAGTGGGGTCGTTGGGTGGTTGGGGACCCCTGGGCACAGGCGGTGCCCATCCGGGGAGGCTGCCTGGAGGTCCCTCTGGCAACAGGGCTTGGTAACCTCCCCTCCCGCAGGCACACCCGCTGGCCCTTGTCGTTGTCGAGGCAGAGCCTGCGGCGTCCGAGGACTGCCTTGGGGCACCTGGCTATGGCCGCCAGCCCTCCACCCGCCCCTCCACCTTGGCCTCCGAGTTTTCGCCCGAAGCGGGGCGAGCAGCTGACTCCTGCCTGCCGTTTCCTGGTGCTGATGCCCTACCAGGCATCCAGACAGGAGGCTGCCGTCCTGGCTCCAGAGAGAGGATTGCTAGAAGGGGCAGACTCCCCGCCGGTGGGAGAAGGGCATGGCCCAGCAGAGCGGGAGCCGGGGCCTGTGTTGGCTGAGGAGAAGGAGCCGGCTGGGAGCTCAGCCTCCAGCCGGGCTCCCCCCCAACGCCGTCACGCACACACCTTCCTCACACATGTCACCCTTGAACTCACAAGAGACACGAAAAGTGCTGCATGCAGCAGAGGGAAGAGGCCCTCACCCCACCCAGGGGCTAGGCTGCGGTTGTCCCGAGGACACTATCCCCGGGCCTGGGATGTGTGGGATCTGTCTCCTCCTCCATGGGGATCAGGCCTCAGGGGCAGCTCAGACGGGGGCCCTGGCTGGAAACAGTGTCTCTTGGGGCACATCCTCCCCAGCACAGGGGCCCCCCAGCTGTGCTGTGAAGAGATCAGGAGGGCACCCTGTCCGTGCTGACCCCCCGCCTGCCCACCTGGCTCACAACAGTTGCAGAAACATCAAGCATTCGGGAGGCATTTCATTTTTAAATGTGGGGCAGCGACAGCCCTATTTCCCCACAGGCCAGCAGTGGTCTCCCTGGTGCAAGGGGCCGAGGGACCGACCTGTCCTCGCTCTGCCCAGCTCCAGGCTCAAGCTGAGGAGGTGGTGGCTTTCCCAGCAGCTGAACCACAGCCCCGGCCTGGGCGCCCCAGTGGCCTCTGCCCTTTAAAAGCTCCATTCAGAGCCCTAGTGTGGGCACCACAGGTTCGACCAGCTCAGCCAGCAGCTGGCCCAGCAGGAGAGACCCTCCCTGAGCAGGGTCCTGGGTAAAACCAACGAAGTTACAGCCTCAAATGCACCCTCTGGGGCAGCCCCCCAAGCTCCGAGTCAGGGGGGCACGTCCACCGACCTAGTTGTCCTTCCATGCCCAGCACAAGGCTGCAGGCACAGCCCAGCCCTGCACTCTGGCCTCGCAACCTTGACCTCTCTCCCTTCCCCCAGCCCCCTGCCCCTGCTGGGATGTGACTTGGGGGGGGTCTGTTGGCAGCATTGGGGCTGCCCTGCTGCCTCAGATTCAGGTAATGGAGTCAGGTCCCCAGGGATGTCCACATCTGCTTAAAATATCGTCCAATGAAATGAAATTCCTCAGCGGATCCTGTACTCTGTGTCAGGCAGGCAGCTGCCGTCCTGTGCCTGCCTCGGCCACCTTCTTGTGGGCTGGGGGCAGCTGTCCCCGCTGTGGGGCCCAAGCAGAGGGTTCCCAGTGCTTGCTCAAGCGTGGGCTCCAGCTGGGTTGGGGCCTGACAGACGAGCTCTTTTTCTCGCTACAGACTCCCAGGAAAGGGAAACCTGCGCTCTGCCCTACCCTTGGGTCCAGCTCTTTGGCCTCCGGGCTAGGCTGCAAGCCACTGCCAGGCACCCATGCTAAGTCCTGAGCAGAGCCGGGCCTGGGCAGCCTTCCCCACCTGGCGGGGGAGGAGCAGACAAGAGCTGAGGGCCAGAGGGGCGGCCTGCCGGGTGTGGGACGCTCGGAAGTTTCCGGGGGCCGTGTCGGGCACACTGAGTCGGCCTCTCGCTTGCAGCGAAGGCCGGCGAAAGCGACGTCGCTTTCTACTTTCTCGCTCCAGCTTCGGGCCCTTCCTCGGTGAAAGCCTGACCCGGGAAGCCTGCAGCCCGGGGGCCGAGACTCTGAGAAGGCCTGCAGCGCACACAGAAACCGGAACATGCACACGAACACGCACACACCACACGCCCCCGGGCAGGCACGGTAGCGCGCACAGCCCGCCGCTGCGCCGGGCCTTGTTCGTACCAACAGGGGCCAGAGGTCACGGGAGGCCGGGGAAGCCAAGGCCACGGCACCGGGCAGAGCAGACTGGCTGGAAAGGGGCGCCCCAACGAGGGGCCCCGAACGGCCGCCGGCGGAGTCCAGGGGCATCCCGCAGAAGCTGGGAGCTGCTTTTCCCCGGCCGGCCTACGAGCGGCCTACGACTGCGGGGGCCGCTGTTGGGGCCGAGCCGGGCGGAGCACCGAACTGAGAGAGCAGAACTTCTTCGGAAAACTGTCGCCAGTTTGGAGCCCACCATGCTAACGCTTAGGGGCTCGGCCCTGGGTGCTGCGAGGCCGGGCCGAGCAGGGTCAAGCCAAGGAAGAGCGGACGGAACCGCCTGGTGGTCGGGCAGGGATCCCAAGGGGAGCGGGCCGGTGCCCCTTTCGCGGGTGGGCGCGCAGCCGGCGGAGGAGGGGGCGGCTAGAGCAGGAGGCGCCGATTCCGCTCCACGCGGCGCTCGCCGCTTCGCTGCAACCGGGCCGCAGCCAGGACTGCGGGAGCCGCGCTCGCCGGGCCGCGGCGCCGCCGCCCCCACCTGCCTGCC